TTGAAGAAGAGTGTGAGACTCATAGAATCAGAAGTCAGAGCAGAAAGAACAGAGATGAAAGAAACAGAAGAAGAAGAAGACACAGAATCAGATAAATAATAGTGAGAGTCACTCAGAGCTGAACACTTATAACTCAGTGTGTGTACAATCTTCTTCACAGAAAAGAGAGAGAAAGTGACAGAAGAAGCTTGAGAGTGAAAGAGAGTAGTCTTAACAGTGTTATCATCTTTAATTAAAATGATCTCTGATGCTGAAGTAACTAAGAACTATTATTAGTATATAAAACTGTAAAAGCAGAGATAACAATTACTGAATAAACACTCACTGATCTTAGAATTGTATGCATAATTACAACACACATGAGACTTCTCAGAAAGAGAGAGAGAGACACAGAGAAATGCAGAAAGCAGAACACAGTGTGTGAACAGCTCATTCTCATAATAATATCTCAGATAAGGTGTATAAGTCTCACACTCACAGATGTAAAAGAGTATGACATCTGTGTTCTCATTTCTGAAAACACAGATTATCTTTTGTCTGTATCATGAAGTCAGATGATAGATACTAGAGAATAGACTGATACAGATCTATCATTCTGAAGAGGCCTGGTGGCGTAGTGATTAACTACGCTATCATGAAGCCTCAATTAGCGGCCTTCCCCCCGGAGAATGAATGTCAAGGAAGAGCAGGTTCAAACTCTGTGAAGATTATCTTAATCACAGCTTTCACTGTTAAGTTATAAAACAGTATCAGAGGCCCTCAGATGCACTATAGTAAATCATTATCAAGCTTAAGATATTCATTCTAAGAATTCTCAGACACTAATTCTCACTGATCTTAGAATTAACAGCTCTTCAGACACTTTAAGTTAGATCAGTACTAGAGTGATTGAAGTCTAGAGTGCTTACAGAATAGTGAATTATTATCAAGCTTAACTGATCAGGTCTCATTTCTCTCACTCTAGACACTCACTTTCAGAGAATAAGATTTAAAAACTATCTGATTAGAACATTCTGAGCCTAGCAAGAACCTAGATAAGACAAGGCTTAGATGTTCTTAATAGGTGATTAGTACAAGCAAGACTGTGACAGTCAATTGATAGGCTGAAATACTGAGATTGACAGCTGAAAGATTAGAGACTTAACTAGAATTGAGTAGCTCTGATATTATTCTTAGTGAGAATCTCACTTATAAGTAAGCTAGTTACAGAAGCTAGCTGAGCGGCGGCTCTTTAGAGAGAATGATAACCTCTGAAGCAGGCCTGAGAGGACAGAGGCAGCAGTCAGTTATATAGAGTATTAAAATATGTATATAGCTTAAGATGTAAACTGCAGAGATCTGTTCTATAACTTTTTCTTTCAATTTCTTTCTGTCTATCTATTTAATGTGTCTATCTTTAAGACTGTGTTCTCTTTTCCTTTGTCATGATATTGTCAAATGGTTTCAAAGTATGAGATGATGTTAAAACACTGTAATTTGTAAACAGTTTTTGTATTCTGAGCTGAAATTTTCTGATTTTGCATATCTGAAATTAATGAATGTATAATAGTTAACTTTACAGATATAGGAAAAACTCTGAGAACTAAAAGTTCTCAGATAGATATCATAGTCTCTGACTGCATACATCTATAATTGAAGAATAATAATAATAATCATTCTGAAGAAATTCATCAGAGCAGATATTTTCATAATATTAAACTTTACAGTTATAAAAAGCTTCTTAATATCTGTGAACATTATGACTTAATACACAGTAAAACTCATAACAATTTTCTCTAAGAACAGAAAAATCAGCATCAGAAAGAAAAGATGAAAAAGAAATAGACTTATAATCTTAACACTGTTGAAGAGAGAAGTGATTCTCTGATATGAATAAATAATTATCTCATCACAAATATTTAAAATAAACATAATAATCAGTGTTTATAACTGAGCTTCAGATAGTCATGTTATACACAGTCTTTATATAATAAATCATTCTGAGAGTTAGTAAGAAGAGCAGAAGTGTACACACTGAGAGATATAATTTATTAAGTCTACATAACATCTTCTTGAAATGAAGAGAGCTGGTAATGAAAGCAGAGACAGTAAAATCAGAAGTGACAGAAGTGAGAGTTACAGGAACAGAGATAGCAGAAGTGAGAGAATCAGACACAGAGACAGGTGTAGAAGATTGAGAGAGAGCAGCAGAGAAAGAAACAGAGAAAGTAGAAGAGAATACAGAAGATCTGATCATATATAACACAGACAATTTCTTTATTATTGCATTCTTTAAGTTCTTAATCAATGATTCAACATTAAGATCACAATCATTGATAAATACAGATCTGTCAACATGTGAAGATTCTACACAAATTAAAACATCAGCATCTGTGATTATATAATATAATCAGAAAAACATGATCAGATATCACTGAAGAAAAGAGAATCAGAGACATATAAGAAGATGAAAAAGATATGTCATTTATAATAGTACATTCTGATAATTATTAAAAGATAAACAAGTTCTGATCACATACATTTCACAATGTGTTACACTTACTGCTAACAAACTACCTGATATGAGCACTATGATAATACTTGTTGTGAGAATGAGAGGTCATTGCCAGAAATGTATATAATGTAATAGATGAACAGATAGAAAGAGTTGAACAGAAGAAGAAGTAGAAATCTTGAATAATAATGATATTTAATAATGATAAAGAAGATAATTGAAGAATGAGAAAAGTTAGTGAATAAGTAATATAATATAGTGAAAGTTTCTTTATAAGAGCAGACACAGAATACTAGCTAAATCAGAGATAGATTATACAATTATAAAACACTAGTAATGAGCTAATCTGTATAAAGCTAGAGTATACAATATGATCACATGAGTGTAACTGAATCTGATAAGAGAGAATGTAATTTGAAAGAATGTATAACTGTCAGATAATAACACAGCTGCTTCTGAACTACTAGTGTATAAGTGTAAAGAGAGGTCATAGCAGTCACTAATTAATTTAGCATACAATATTACAATATATAAGAAGCCGGTGTATGTCTGTAATTATATACTGACTTAAGCAACTTTTGAATCACAAGTCTGTAAAATAAATGAAATTATTCACAGAGAAGTAATAAGCTGTATAAAACTATAACAGAGTCTTGACTAGACTGACTACTAAGACTATAAATTTCATATTTAATCTTATTTAATCTAATCTCATACATTTCTTGATATGAATTCTGCTGAGACTAGTTATTAAAAAAACATGTAAAGTAACTATATATAAGATCTTAAAATGAAATCATGACTTGAAAAAAATGAGAAAGTAATCTCATTTAATCTCATTTAGTTTCATTCTTGATATAAAGTTACTATTTTTAGATATATTAAGATTTTTTTAATCTATTTTTAATTTTTTAAAAAGTAATGCTTTTTGATAACATTTAAATAAGATTTAAAGTCATTTAAAGCAATAAAAATAATTTAAATTGAGAAGTGAAAATCATAATCTTATTTGAAAAATGTAATAAGAGTAGATAGTAAGTCTCACTGAGACAGTATAAGACTACTATCTAATATTAAAACCATGTAATGAAATCAGTTAAATTAATAATAAAACTATTAAAAAATCTAATTCTGATCTCAGATACAGTTAGACTGATCATATAACTGTGTCTTAGATCAGAATTAGATTTTTTAATAGTTTTATTATCAATTCAATTGATCTCATTACATAGTTTTAATATTAGATAGTAGTCTTATAATATCTCAGTGAGACTTACTATCTACTCTTATTACATTTTTCAAATAAGATTATGATTTTCACTTCTCAATTTAAATTATTTTTATTGCTTTAAATGACTTTAAATCTCATTTGAGTGTTATTAAAAAGTGTTACTTTTTAAAAAATTAAAAATAGTCTAAAAAAAACCTTAAAATGTCTAAAAATAGTAACTTTATATCAAGAATGAGACTAAATGAGATTAAATGAACTCACTTTCTCATTTTTTTCAAGTCATGATTTCATTTTAAAATTTGATATATAGTCACTTTGCATGTTTTTTTAATAGTCAGTCTCAGCAGAATTCATATCAAGAAATGTATGAGATCAGATTAAATGAGATTAAATATGAAATTCATAATTTCAGTAGTCAGTCTAGATACAGTTATATAGTCAGTTTAATCTTAACACAGTCAGAAGTATAATACAGATTTTTAAAATTATTATTAAACTTATTTATTATAGTTATTTTTCAGTTTATTACAGATATTAATAAGTTTATTATTACTTTCTATTATACTTTCAGTGTTTCTGAATTTCTTTTTCTATATACTAATATGTATTTCTTTATCAAATCTGACATTCTACTGTATCTCAAATTAATTATAGATTTAACTTTATTATTATTATTATTATTCTTTCATTATACTTATATGAAAGCAGAGCTTATGATGAGTTCTTATGTGATGTTAAATACAGGTCAAGTGTTGATTATATAGAAGGAAATACAGGTGTTGAGACCACATCAAGATAACAAGAACATAGGAAATACAAAGGAGTGACAATTAGATACATGCGATAATAACTTCCCAGCCCAGGAACATAGAGCGATTTATTGAAGTAATTTGTACACCTCTGTATTTATTAGGAACCTGGGTTCCGGATTTAATGTATCCCCTGCGGGTTTCGAACCCACACAACCTTGGTTTCCCACGCCAAGGCGCTACCGGGTGGCCGCATTAACCATTAGGCCACCGGGGCTTATAGATTCAACTATTTATAAAGAGATATTTAAACATGTTTAATAATATATGAAGATGTGATTAGCATATTATCAGTGATTATTCATAAAAGAGCCTCATAACCTGTTAGAGGATAATGTTATCATCTATAATCTATCTAGGGTGAAACTATATATAAGTTGGGTAAGTTGGGTGGCACGTGATTAGGGTAGGTGCAGTAATCACCAACATAAATACGCCACAGGCTGTAAACATTCTTTGTGCAAATCAGGAAGCCAACTTCATCTTTTCGCCGTCTAGTCCCTACTCAATTGAAGTCCCGTTACATAGAATTCAAGAGGCACAATGTCACGTCCTAACCCAGCCCAACGGAACCTGACACTGACTGAGGAGCTAGAGAGACTGGAGCAGTCTATAACATTGACCCTGCAAGGTGCAGTTCTACCATCATCCGCGCTCTGCGTTATCCGTAATGACATGAAGAAGCTAGACATATCAAGAAACTAATAAATATATGTGCCACTTTATAGAAATTGATCACAATTTCAGCCGTGCTCACAGGATAGTTACCACAAGCATTCTTCCCACCGTTGAACAATACGCTGGGCAGTCGAGAGAAGTATGGGAGGGGTCAAAGGTTGGCCGTCTCCAACAACACGCAGTCCGCAGTGCAAAAGTGCCACCTATTATAACTAACTTATAAATAAATTAGTTCTGGAAACAATTCTTTGAGTCTAGTGCCAATGTGTCGCTTTCCGGCTACGAAGAACACCCACCCAGTGACAGCGGACAGGAAGGCACTTACACTGAGAACTCTACATACACCGCCCGCACCTCCACAGACGAAGATGCTACGGCATCATATGCCACTCCGTCATCTGAATCGTTAAACCTCCACCACCGAGATGATGCTCCGGACCTCTCTTCCCTCACAATAACACCATCCCACAGCACCCCGCGACCAAAATCACATTCAATACGGGATGAGATCGACGATATTACCAGCTCATCCATCGACTACCCCTCCTCCTATGAAACTCTCCGCCACGAATGGGATGACACCCCCTCCCAATCAAGAAACGCGGACCCAGTCACTCCTGGGAGGTCACAATGGACCCACGGCGGCGCACGAGACACGGCCGTAACGCCAACAACCTCAGCGTTCGCCCCACTCACCCCGCATCAGATGCCATCCACATCGAAAAAGGCCGGCAAGCCAACAGATCCCGTCCTCCACCGCGTCCTAGATAAAACCTACCGTATCCAGGCAACACCCCTCGCCACTGCCCGCAAAACCTACGGCCACGATACCCGAGGCATCAGCACGCCCAGATTCAAGCCCAAGCCGGGCTACCTGGACTCCTCACCCATCTCCAGCCCTGAAATCGAAGTGCCAAAACTTCACTCAGAGATTTTCTCGTCCCCGATCAAGGATGACGACGACGATGATAGACCACCTCGTCAGCGACGGCCAAACAAACCATCCCGACTCCCACGACCGGGTATAAGCGTGCTTGCGCCAGCCGAACACAACCCCTCGCGGCTGCCAAATAAATCCGGAGAATGGCCTAGTGACGATGACCTCGATGACGACGATGAAGATGACCCCACCGCGCTGTTTGGCCATAGTCCACCGAAAACGATCCAGTTTCATATTCCGCAGAGCAGGCTGCTTCAGACTCCAGGTATGTTTTAGCAATGGCAACTCACTCACCACCTTATATGGACAGGTTGAGACTCAGCGTTGGGGCGAGGGAAAGTATGCTTTGTTGCAAACCAACTAACTGAGAAAATACAAAATCACAGCGAAAGAAGCCTCCAAGCGAATCGTTTCTGAACTCCTCTACACCGCCGGTTGCGGCGATGATATCACGGACGAGGATGAAAGTAGCCCTAGCGTCATTCGTCGCGCAGCCGGGTTGGAAGACGAGAGCTTCTGAATAGTAATGATAATACAATAACAAAATATACAAGGCATAATAAAATTGCCATGCGCACTTTAAACATATACCGTTTTACTACTGGACGCGGTTAAGCGGATCTACTTGAGTAAGTTTGTATGAAACTCTACGAATAAAACTCACAGATTATAGCTTGGTACCTGTGTAAATTTAACCAAACGATTAAGGTATATGGAATGTGACGGTTGGAATGGCGACCCCCAATGATATTCCCGTGGTTGCAAGATATCTTCTTGGATGCACCCGTTGATATTGAAAGAATATCAAAAAGAAGGAATAGGAAGGATGATAAACAGCTGGCAAAGTTCAGTGGAGGGAGGCGCTTAGGTGCGAAACTAAAGAAACTGGATATCTCTTCTCACTACCTCTCAACTACACAGATGCAAAAGTAAAATGGACTCTTCCCTAAGAAGGGGAGCAAGAAAAAGTTGAAAAAAAAAATCAAAAAAAATCAAAAAAAATCAAAAAAAATCAAAAAAAATCAAAAGAAAAAAAAAGTAAACTCATTTACCACATATGCATCTAGTTTTGAATTTCATCATCATTGTCATCATCATTGCTATACAGCACCAAGCACCAAACATCAAGCCAGGATGTGGTGATTGGAAGAAAGAAGAAAGAAGCTATTTGTGAATGAGCTAACTGTATTGCATGACATCACATGTGAGAAAACACAACTTATGAGAGCATGCAGAGACTGGATTCATATAAGACTGAACAGCATGTCCCTGAGAGTTTTAGGAATTGGGAAGTTTAGAAGAAGATATAAATATTGGACAGATAAATGGATATAAAGGAGGAAGCATAGATAGAATAAAACATAAGATGGGAAGAGAGGGAAAAAGGAAATTGATGAGAAGATGAAGTAACATATTTCACAACCTGAGTGAATCATGCCACTCTCTGTTTTTAATGTACCACTGCACAAATTTAGTATGAGAAGGTACAGTACCACCTTATTGTATTTGTCTCATTTGTCTCAAATTCTCTCATACCAAAAAATAGTGGAGTGGTACGAAGTGATCCAGGTTGTGGTGAGAGAGATGACACAAAAATACCCTCAAGGCATGAAGGCTGGGTATCTCCGCCAGGAGAAAGAAAACCAAGCAAATAATGGATAGTAATAATAACAATGATAATAAACAGGCTTTATAAGGGCAAGCAAGTTCCATCACTTTTTTCAGTGCGCAGTGTTTAGTAAGGACGGGAGGGATGGTATATAGGCAAAAAACAACTTTCAGGTGGTATTTGATGGAATAGCAATGAACACGAACGTGCGACAAAATGCAGTATAAGATTGGAAATGTAGGTAAAACAGCAATAATAAAAAAAAAGGGGGATGATTATCCAATCTAGAGGATGATTCCATGGCTTCGTGGGAGCAGCCTCATCAACTCGGATTTCATGTCCCGTCAAAATAATGGGGAAAAAAAGCGCAGTGGTATGAATGCAAGCAGCAGCTCGAGTAAACGCAAACGCAAAACCAAAAAAAAAAAAAAAAAAAAAAAAAAAAAAAAAAGAGTCATTCATCCAATCGCGAAAAGTAAATAAACCAGAAAGAAAAGTAAAAGAGGCCAGTGATGAAGCAGGAGACCAAGCGGAGTAGTGAAAATGGGAGAGAAAGGTGAAGCAAGAAAAGAAACAAGAAAAAACTAATCCTGCATCCCCATGAATATATCCTGACAATTGTCAACCAAAAACTGCAACACCTCATTCTTCTTGTTCACATCACTCATTTCCCGACTCAAGCTCTCAGGTCTCAGAATCGTCGGCGCAAACACCACCGCAACATTCAAGCTCGTCATCAAATTCTCTTTCTCGCGCTCCACAACGCGCCGGAGATGGAAAATCAAAAATTCAAGTACGTCGCGGTGTACGTTTGGCAGAGTCAGGAGGGCGCGACGCATCACGTCTATACGGGCGGAGGCTGGCGTAACGCCCGTGGCGTCTAGGAGTAGGTCGTAGACATGGTATGTGATTAGCGGAGTGGGTAGTTTGCGGAAATACTGTTTCAGCGCTGAGGTGACGGCGTGGATATCGAGATCTGGGTCGGAGATGTCGTAATCTGGGGACTTCTCGAAACCATCTCGGATCATCTGCACTTGAGAGCTACCACCGGATTTGCGGTAAATGCCCTCACAATCCATGCCTGCGGGAAGTCAAAAGTTGTTAACATCATCTACAAGGAAGGGTTTTGAATGAACACAACGAATGAATAAGTTTTGGGTCCGTACCTCGGAGCTCTACTTCCTCAATACAGCGCGTGACGATGCCGGGAATTACACACTTCTCAACTTCGATGCGTTGTTCAAGATCGCAACCAAAAAGTGCTGAGCGAGAGATCATAGTTAGCATGCTAAACATTCAAGCGAAAAGATATTTGTTTCATAATAGTTCTCACCATTAGTATTATTATTAACCTCAACAAGCCCCATTGTGCTGTCAGTGGAGGGCGCCTTCCATATACCACCAGGCTTGGCCTTTTGGTTGCCGAAAAACCCAAAACCTTGGCGAGACGATTCTTGCATTTGAGCGCGTGAGGGTCCTTCCACCCCGCCTTGCGATGATATGGATCCATATGGGGCAGTTTCCGTAAAATGGCCTTCTCGTTGCTGATATTTGCCTTCGGCATAGTTGAAAGCACCCTTGAGGCCCTTCGTCACACCCTTGGCAACATGCTGGCCACCTTTTTTCCAATTGAACTTGCGAACCTGACCCTTTCGGATGCTGACAACCTGCGGTCCTTGAAGGAGGGCGGGATGTTCTGCGTCTTCGGATTGCGTATTCGAAGTCGAGACGTGAAGGTCATTCGACGGCCTAGGTTCACGACCCTCAATTGAGGCGACAGAAGTATCCTTTTGGTGGGAGTAAATACCCAGGCCGTTGGGGGCCTTGCGGCCACCCTCCCCGATGGAGTTGGTATTAGCCTTGTAAATACCCTGGATTTGGTGTACCAGCTCGTTATTAAGCTCTGCAAGTTGGGAGTTCTTAAGGGACAGCTGTTCGAATTCCTGAAAGCTCTTATCTTTCATACGGCCAAGGCTGGACAACTCTTCAAGTATATCATTCCGCTTTTTAATCAACTCTTCGATCTGAGGGGCAAATGTATCTTTGAGGCGTTGTACTGACTGCGCGAAGTCGCGGAGTACAGCTTTGTTCAGTTTCCCTATATCAACGGCAGTGCCACTTTGCTTCTCCGCTTTGATGTGTTCAGTAAGAACTTCCAGCTCTCGCATAACGATCTCCTTCTGGGCCTCGAGGAATACCATGGTGGACCGTTTCTCGCGAAGTTCAGTATTAACTTGTTTGATATTTGTCGAGGAATTAAGCGAAGCCTCCAGCTCTGAAATCCTCTGATCCTTCTCAATAATCTTCTGGCGCTCTCTTTGGAGCTCGTTCTTGTACCAGGCAAGCTGGTCCCGATGTTCAGGGGAACTGGTATTTGGGCTGCTCATGTCATTTGCATGGTTACTTGCAGTTGAGGGTGACTTGGGCCATTTCTGCTCCTTGGAGAGTCGGGCACCTTTATCGCTAAAGCTCCTTCCATGACGGACTGAGTTTGAAACACGCTTTAGGAAGGATTCTTGGTTTTGAAGATCCTCACTACCAAGAATCCGTGCCATGTCTTCGTCCAGGGAGAAGTCTCCAGCCCCACTATACCGTAGCAATGGGGAACCACCGGCATCAGCTTCACGGTGACCTTCCGAATGCAGAGTGTTCACAGATTCATGACGAGAATGGGATCGGCGATGGCCCGAAGGTTTCTGTTTCGATACATTGACGGATGCAGTGCGCTTATGGGGCGAGGGAGTGGAGCCTGGAGCCAATGTATCAGAGGCCCGCTTAGATACAGTGGATTCAGAAGCCTTGGAACTCTTTGCATCCGACGATCTGTCCGCTGTGGGAGGAGAAGGAAAATTCGAGGATGTGGGGGGCGTCGCATCATTCGTTCTACTAGACGTAGGGGGTGTAGGCTTCATGGTAGGCTGCATTTCTTTCTTTTGGAGAGATTGATGCAGTTTGGCCTCAAGTGAATCGCCTCTTTTAGGCGGGTATTGCATTCCCGGTCTCGAAAGTTCGGCGGTCCCATTCTCCTTGGAGCGAGATTCCTGTGAAAAACGTGAAGGTGTTGAATCTAGTTCTGAAGCGATGGGCGTTTCTTTGGCGGACCGGGCGGAATCTCGAGGCGGAGGGCTCATAGCAATGTCATCATTCGCGGGGAATTCCACTCTAGCCGTCAAGCTAAGGTCGGATAGAGATGCGTTCCCAGAGCCTCCCGACTTTCTACCTTTGGGGACGTCCTGCAATTTGAATTTATCTGTACGACCCTGCATATCAGCTCCAAAGCCTGTCTGCTTCTGAACTATGCTCTGCTGGCGGATATTGTCGTTGTTATTAGAAGACGATGCTTGAATTGATGTGTTGGAATTTTCCGTGCTAGCTTGGCGTTTGTGGGAGTCTAGTTCTGCAGGACGCTTCTCCTGGTATGGGCTTGGTTGCTCAGAGGATGCCCCAGAGTGACTCGGGTCCTGCAAGTATCCAGGTCGGTCGACAGGCTGCTTTTTAGAGCTGTCCCTAGGTGCATCCTGACCAAAATAGTCTGGTAGTGGGCCATTGGAAGTTGCTGACAGAGGATTAGGGGAGTGGGGTCCACTGGGTGTAGGGTCAAATGCAACAGGAATCAGGAACTCTTCCCCACCGGATGCATTAGATTTGTGTGAAATAGCAGAATGACGATTGCTTTTGTATGTGCTAGCAGGGAGGATAAGATTGTCTATTGCAACACAAGTGGTTAGTGAAAGAGCATATCGCAAAAATGTTGGGACTGTATATGAGTAAATGGCGCACCTTGGTTAACGGGTTTGGATTCGGGAGATTCCACATTTGCATCATTCCCCATGTAGCTCCTTCTCACCTCGGACCTTGGATGAGAAGAGGGTAATTCAACGGGTGCTTCAAAGTATGGATCCACTGAGGGGGTGTCCAATTCCGCCAAACCATTGTTCGGAGCAACGGTTGGAGGTAGTGACGGGAGAGATTTGTCAAGCTGGACATTGGGGACCTTTTGCCGTTGTCCTCTGGCTGACCGTTTCCTTCGTCGAGCCATCAGCGATTCATGGCAGTCCATACAAAAAATACCCTGAGATGTGCGCGCATATCGAAGATTCTCGATCTTCCGTTTGCAATTTCGACACTTAAAACAAGTGGCACAAAAAGCCTGGTCGCCAGTAAGGATGGCAAGGTCCTCAATCTTATTCCCGCAAGAACTGCAACTGTACGTGCAGTTGTTGCAAATGAGGGAACCATCGCCGAGTAGAAGGAGGTTTGCGTCCGAATCGAGAAAGGTACCGCAGGTGTTGCATCGAAAACAATCGATATGCCATCGTTTCCCAGCTATTAACTAAGGTTAGCCTCATGTCCCACAGGAAGTGCCAATTAATGGGGTTGGTGATAAGACGTATGAACTCACCTAATTCGAATGCTTTGCCTTCTTCCAAAATCTTATATCATATGTCTATTAGCAAAGGAAGAAGACTCTAGTAAAAAAGGAAAGCAATTTAAATCAATTTGGGACGCAGGGAGTGCTCAAAGCCATACCTCACCGCAGCCCTGGCATGGAAATGGGATATCATCGTCCAGAGGGGACTCAGGGTTGCCAGTTGGGGACTCCATCTTTCAGTTTTCTCTTTTTAAGTCTCTGGCCTTTTATGACTTCCCAATTCTTGTGGCAGCGTTTTTATTGTATACCAGTCTGGGCGAATCGCGAAGTCAAATATCCGAAACCATTAAAGTTCCAGACCCAGCAATGCAATACGGATACCTGCGTATGGCGGGGGTGGCAAGGATCAATGCCCTTTCCTTCAAGGCTCGTCATACAAGGCCTTCCATATAATAATGAACGGGGTCAAGACTGTTGGGCTGAGATGCGCGAATAGGGCGAATAGGGTAGAGGTAGCGAACGAATATAGTGAGGGGACAGATTGGAAAGGGCGGGGGGAACGAAGGGGGTGGAGGTGAGGACGAACGACAGACGGCTGGTGGATGCTACCGGGATTAAGGGCCAGATAAAACAATAGACGAGGTACAAATGGCCAGTCTGATTGGAGATGTCATATAAGGAAGTGAATGGGGTTGGGCGCAAACGAAAAGCTGCGTGGTCTAACTTTTTGGGCTACAGCCGTATCAGTACAAGTTAGCAACACTGTACACAGATCATCTGAGCGCAAGAACACACACAATAATAGATAAGACGAGGAACAACTAGATGGGTGGACGGACAGCTGGGAATACGAAACGCGCTAGGGGTTGACAGGCGATGACGGGCCGTTGACCGGTTGAAGATTTGTGTTTGTTATCTTCAAAGAAAGACGACGGAGGTGGTCGGGGCGGACCAACGCTTGCCTAGCGAAGGAGAATAAAGGTATCGATGGATGGGCGACGGGCGACAGGCGATGAGCGTGTGAGGTGCAAGGGCTGCTCTTGGGCTAGCCTAGATCGTCTTCTCAGCGACAGGTAGCCCTGGCAGCGGAAGGGGTAAAACGTTGATGTCAAATATAACCAAGATGTGCAGTACTACTGTATGTACGGGACGTGGGGGAGCAATCGATCGACTATGGATCCCAAGCCAACAAACAAACGATATAGTGAGAGAGAGAGAGAGAGAGGAGAGAGAGAGAGAGAGAGAGAGAGAGAGAGAGAGAGAGAGAGAGAGAGAGAGAGAAAGAAGATAGGGGCAGGAATAATAATAACTCTCCGTCTGCCCCTTCGTACGTGCAGACGGGCGGAGTGGATTCAGTGGAAGCGATCAGGGGGAGGGAGGAGAAAAGAAAAAAGACACAGCGCGACAACGTGCGAGTTACTACTACAAATGGGCAGCGTGGAGGCTAACTACCAGCAAATCCCCAACAACAACGCAATTCTGCTTATCGTGTGAGTGGCATTAATATTATTCAAATATAATCTAAGTATCTTTCTTATCCACATGCACCAGCATACACAGGTGACGTTTCGGAAGTGCAACGGCTGCTGCTGAGCAACTTGGTGTTCTTTGCTGCTGTGAATCCCCCTCGATATATCTCCTGTGGCACGCTGTTATGGGATTTCCGCCTCTACCTAACAACCACGCGAGATGACAATAATGAAAAAAAAAAAAAAAAAAAAAAAAATTTAAAACAATAAAAAATTAAAACAATAAAAAACGCCAGCAAAAGCACGGGAGCGCACGATGCTACCTAGGTCCTAGGTCCTCCCAAAGTTTAAGTAACTTCGCTAGGCCCAATGCTAAACAGCCACTACTGCACCAGAACGACAACCCAAAAGGGCTGAAAGCTGCGAATTAATTTTACTTTTTACTGTTATTTTCAGGGGACGAAAACTGCAAGGGATGGAGAAGACGAATTCGAGTCTAACAGCCTTCAAAACAGAACATCATCACATCACGGACGGGATAGCGCTCGAAAAGCGGCAGATGGGATATTTCCGTGCTATTCTTTCCCCAGGTACCACTACATTCTAGCCACTAGGTCGAGTTCCAGTCAAAGCGAAAAACTAGGGAGTGGAGTGGGTTGTTATCTTCTCCAGCCGGTTATCCACACTACCCTACCGTTTCTATTCTTGAATATTCCCGGTCCTCGCTGGCAAAAAGGAGCACGGAGTCGTTATTATTATTGCCTGCCTGCGGCGTCTGTGCTATAGTACGTCTGTGCCGTTCAGACATCCAAACAAGCCCAGACTGGTCTTTACTCTATCGCTCCTTTTCCATAACCAAGGGCTGTCGTACCCCGCTGCCACAATCCTCGTCCGCAATCGTCATCATCGCTATTGATTATTGATAATTTGCGAACTGAACAAGAGTCAGGACGCCTCCATCCACAATAAAAATATATATCACTTTCTCCTTGCAGACTAGCACTAAACGACGGGGCATACACCCCAGCCTAACCGAATATTGAGATGGCTGTTGTTCGGCAGAAGAAAAAGGCGGAAACATATAGTGCTTAATCCTTCCCCTCGAATCTCCAGATTATGACCTCGAGGTCGAAATTGGTCAAGGGTCACGGCCGGGGCTGCAATGGGGAATAAATCCCATTTCCACTAGCGAAAACACAAGAGAAAATGGTATGGGTTCGGAGCGGATAGTAACAGGGGAATGTCAGAAAAGCAAGAAGAATAACTGAAGCCCTCCTCATCAGCACCCGGACAAACGCCTTTGTGGAAAGCAGCGATAATAATTAGCGCCAAGAGCAGCAACTGAAGTATATCTCAAACATCAAGCCTCCAGACAACACCCCCCACCCATGCGCGGTGTTGGCAGCAACATGTAGTTGTCGCCTTGGAATAAATTATCAGGGCCAAAATCCAGGTTTCAGCGTCGTCCCAACTGCAAACAGCTAACCTTAATTACACTACAGAGTACTCCGTACTCCGTACAGAGTAGTTACGTACTCTCTCCCCCTTCATACATTTTTAGCTTTGCTGCCAAACATCTCAACCACGCTGCAACCCGCAAGCCAATAATTATTAATTAGCTCGGCCATCAATCAAATGATTTGAAAGTTGAAACAACGCAGCTCATATTCCACACAGCTCGCTAGTCTCGTTCCTGCGCCGGAGAAACCCCAGGAAGCTCTGACCATCCATACCAACCACCCACCCATTATTAACGACACACCCGAAGCCATCGATCGAAAGGGCCGACAAAACTTCCCCTGCCACACTCGATCTCCTGCGACCAGGGTTAGCGGGCCCGCCAGCCAAACAACTGCTGAACAGTCCGCGCCCACCACCCCGGCGAATCCGTTTATTAAAACACTCCGAGAAAATCTTTGGAATCCCGCAGGAGCAAAACTAAAAGACTTTACAAGGGATGGATGCGCGATGTCTCACACATCCGAGTTCAGACCTTATTTCCACCACCCTTGTTTACTATGTCCAAGTCCAAGGTTTAACCTCCCAACGGTCCACGCGAAATTAACGAAGCCCATCGATTCGAGAACCAAAGAGATCTAATACGAATGATACAATTTATGCCATTGACAGCTTCTGTCTTGAACGTGCCTTTAATCCGAATTGTATAGTTAGCTGAACATCTAAAAGAATGTGTAGAATGTCTCCTCTATCTATCCAATTCCTTCACCCTGTGCATCATCAGTCCCTTCCTCTTAAGCGTATTGAAATGCAGCAACAGATTGCAACCGTTCAACCTTTGCCAGTTATATCCGCAAAGGAAAGGCACAAAGTTAGTATCGAACACGGATCCGACAGTTAAAATATTTCAATTCCGCTCTCCCCAGAAATAAAATAAGGAGTGTGCTGTACCTGGCAGTCACACCAAACATTCTCCTAGGTCCGGGTCCTGGGTCCTCTTTCTAAGGATAAAAAAAATAATAATGATAATCTCCGTGAACCACACACATGCTCCCGGTGAAATAACTAGGAAAGAAACAAGAGCCACAAAGCCAACTGCACGGTATAAGCATGTGATGGTTGTTCACTCCGCACTCTTCGGATATAACGTTCATTCCCCCTCTACTCCCTACTAGCACTATCCCCAGGGCCCTGACTACGCTGCGTATGAAAAGATCGTCGTCGTCCCCGTAGTATGTACGGAGTATTTATGATGGCTGTCGCAGACCGCGCAAGTTATGCCGCACACACGGTCCATGTCTATCACTAGTTAACTAATCTGCGGAGGATGGGCCAGATCTTCGCTCAATTCGTGGGTTTCGTGATTTTCGTTCGCCACATACATACACAGCTATGCTCCGTACAATCTACGGACGATCCGTATAAAACCGGCGCTGGTCGGTGTTGAAGAACCTGCTAGTTCAAGATCGTGCCTCAGTGCAGTGGACGATTTGCTCTGTTTTATGTCCCTGCGGATTAACTACACGTAGTTAAAGTTAATTTATGTAATTATTAGGATCGCTATATAGACTGCGTGCTTTTCATTCTTCGTTTTTTCTCTTCTCATGCAACATCTAATCCGTATTCTTGGCTCTGTTTCAACAAGATGCAGGTCAGAACACCGCACAAGTCAACCCATTGTTCATATACATACTTACATCCGTCATGAACACCAGCAGTCTGAGAAATCTATCTAGCCAAAGGTAAGCTTAACATCCCTAGGGAGCTCTCCATGTATATCTTTATCCACCTATCTTGGAATCATGTAGTTCCAAGTTTTGGAAGCTACCCTATGCTCATTGCTCACCACAACCCTGCGCTCTGGGTAGTTTTGACAGATGGGAACTTTGAACTTCCCTCCTGTAACAAATTGTTGCAGATAAGAGGGGAGAATTCACCAATATTTAGATATTTAGAAACAAAGTCCACGAAGTACCAGAATTCAAGTGTTTACTTATCCGTAATTAAGAATATTCATGCGGTAAAACCACTGGCAAGAAACAATTTGAATGTGTATATGAGACTGCTGCTACTGCTACTTCCCACGGCTAGTTCAGCTGCTGAGTCTGACTTCACCTCTCCTCTCAGTACTCTCCTGTGCAATCGAGAGATGGGGGGAATATCACAAACACGTTGGCACGGGATCCTAAATGTTCATGTATTCTTTCTCTTTTCGTGTTCGAGTGGGCAATCCACAAAATTCCAGTCTAAAGATCATTACATTCACTTATCCGCTGCATGGATGGGTGCAGGAGTTTTTGAAGCCCGAGATATATTTACAGGAAAAAAGGAAACCATCACCAATAGCCGGCAATGAATCATAGCATGCTAATCAATCATGCCATGTTAATGATCCCATATTATCGATCACTCACGCGGCCATGGAAGTCTTGATCGAATTGTTCAGCGCAGTTCAGAGCTGTCTCCATATGCATTATGATGACCGACCCTCCCTTGGTCAGCGCAAATGCCGCTCGGGCAATGTTCTTGATCTGAATTTCTATCTCGTGATTTTTGCGCCAGCATTGCAAAATTGGTTGCTTCACACCCGGGATTTGGCTTCCCCAACTCAGGGATTCATCATGTATATATTTTATACCGACGTGTACTTGACTTTGCATTGTCGGGTCCAGTGTAGTGGTAGGAAGGAACATGATCCCGTCGAAATACACCACCGAGCGGAGAAACAGAGACAAGGGCGTTGTGATGCAGGCCGTTAACGCTTCGTTCGCTCAGAAAAACACCAGGTTCTATTGGCGCATGCATTTTGTATGCACAGGGGGTATGAAAATAGTATTATTCCCCCTCGCATTGGCGTTGAGGCTACGTATTGTCGTTGGCTGCAAACTGTCAGATGAGAGGATTGCTCCTAGCTAGCAGTCGGGGTCCCTGGTGTTTTTATTACCATTACTTGCTGCTTGCATACCTGTCGACATCACGCTGGAAGAAATGCGCCCCTTGGCCCATCTGTATTGGTGAAAAGCAAGCCAATTCCTTGAAAATGGTACTGTTTCGCTATTATAAATAGTATCATGCCACCCTGCCATTTGATCAGTACCCAGGTATGAAGTTGACATCCGCCGAACTGACAGACTTCCAACTGAGCTTGCTTTCGCAATCTTTCATTCTTAGATCTTCTACAGTAAGAAAAGATCCTTAACTGGCATATAAGCATCAGTCTAATGAATTTGAACGCTGCGGTACCGGTATGAGCAATAAAAAGCACCAATTTATCTCCGTCCACTACCGAGATGAATGTCCCTTCAAAAGGGAATATGCAAGATGTATAGTGCATGCCACTGAGGGGTTTTGTTAGCACCTAAGAGGCCCAACGGCCGCAACAACATGGCATATTATGGTTTGGATGGTGTTCGATTGGATAGCGAAACTGGACAAGACCTGAACTTGAAAAGAAGCTGGTTCTTCCGGAGAAAGAGCAATATGAATCCATTGGACAGTGGCGCCTAATCGGTCGGGCCATGATTGGAAAAGCTTCTCCACAAATGACCCTCCACAAATGACAGAAAATGACATCGAAAACATTCTCAGAGGTGTTGCTCTGCTGGGTAAGGAATCAGAAGAAAGGTGTCGCCATTGGGTTTGGAATGCCATATCCACTCTGTGTTTATAAAGAAACAAACTAGTTGCGTGAAACATTTCCCGGCTCATCATAGAGCCTCCAAAGAAAGCATTCTGCCACAAGTTCATTAAGTTTGATGCTCTCAGGCTAGTCTGGCACCTTTAATGAAGTGTAATATGCCTTTGTTAGATCCCAATACTTTGGGTACCAGCCTGCAAGTGCCCAGTCAATAACTCCCACAATTCTGTCATTGTAAATGATAATATTCCATGGGACTAAATCTGAATGTGAGAAGACTGTCCAATAATTGTTGCTATGACATTGACGAAAAACCTTAGATGTGTGGAACGCCACCCTGTGAAGAAGAGTGGAAGTCAGAATGTGACTGAAATGGGCCGATGAGTTGACTTCCAATACGGTAAATAATCAAGAAAGGCACTACCCTGCGCAGATGCAACTATGTCTTCTTTGGGGGGATGAAGTGTTCGAAGCTGAGTCAAAATAGCTGCAATATCATCCATAATGGTTTCCTTTTCCTTGGGCTTCAGGCCGTGCATCCACAGAGTTTACAGATCTGCGCCTTGAATGTAATCCATCATAATATATATGCCCCCTGGTCCCATGTATGTACACTGAACTCGAGGAACTGGAATTGTAGTGTGCTGTGAGATGTAGAGAAGTGCTTCAAGCTCTGGAAGCTCACACGGCCCTTTAATAACATGTCTCCAGCTAACCTTAACAGTTGGGCCTAGGGGTCCAAAGATTGACCGGGCTACTCTAAATTGAGTGCGAAGAATGATGGATTTCAAAATCTAATCCCGTCATTCAAGAACAAATCAGTATTGATTGCTGTGAGAGGGATTTGATGAGCAAACCTTGTAATACCATCATTTAAAGCTCTGAGAGTCGAATAAACGTATCAGAAGGCGATATAAATATGAAACAGTGCACAACAGTGTTCTCTAGGTGGGAGAGATTACGGGTACAGAGAGAAACGGGTTTGCGTGGAGCAGATGCCAGCTCAAGCTACCACGTGACAAGTATGCTCCCCGACCCTACCCTACCTACCTAGGTAGTTAGCTTTGTTTTGCTCTTTCTATACAGACAGAGGATCCTCTCAAAAGTTTTGATTAGCACTAAGAATTACGCTGTAAAAGTATTACCATTCCATTCTCAAGCCCTTGGAATTTAAGCTAGCTTTGGTTAAGCTGTGCTGCTGTAGCTGGTTATTAATGTGCCACAGACATTACCTGCCTTAGAACTCTGATTAAGAGAGGGAAATGAGAATAACTTTATGCCCAAAGTTACCCCTTAAATTCTTAGTGCTAATCAGAACTTTTGAGAGGATTCTCTATAAAGTGCTAAATTTAAGCTATAGTTAATACTATTACTATTATTGTTCTCAAGTATTCTGTTTACCTGTTAGACTAGCTTTAGTTAAGGTGTAACTAGCTGTTTATTTAAGCATCACAAGGCATTAACCCCCTTAAAACTCTGGTTGAGAGAGGGAATGGAAATGCGCTAATCAAACTTTGAGAGAATCCTCTAGATAAAAGACTATGAAGCTATTGATATATTCAAGAGCTGGCAGCGGCTATCTATCAGTATAACTGTGTTATATGATAACTTAAAGAGGGAAAAACAATAAAATAAAATAATAGCATTGTAAATATAAGATTGATAAATTCATTCTGATAATCAGAATATTGACACTACATAGATCTGACTATCATGAATAAAAGAAGTTAGTTATCTTTCTCAGAATGAATGAATGACAAGCAATCTAATTTATTGAACTGATATTACACTGTAAAGAGAAGGAAAAATAAAATAAATAAAGTATAATATAAGAATTTCACAAGCTCAAATCTAAAAGTATCCATGAATAGGTAACTCTACACAACAACATGCAAGTCTGACGAGTGAAAATATATAGACGTAAACTGTAAAATTGCCCTTGATTAAAATAACGGTGCGGCATAATTGACTATAAGAATTAAGAAACAAACAATACTCTACTCCTGAGCCGTGAAAAAAAAAAAAAAAATAATAATAAAATAAAATAAAAGAAAAGAAAAGAAAAGAAAAGAAAAGAAAAGAAAAGAAAAGAAAAAAGAAGAAAAAAGAAAGAAAGAAAGAAAGAAAGAAAGAAAGAAAGAAAAAGAATCCGGAGAAGAGGAATAAAGAAAATAAATGATAAATGAAAACAAGAAGAAAACCGAAGAAGGGATAAAAATCAAAATCAAAATATACAATTAAAAATCACTTAATACCACTGCAAGGATGTGCTTTTTAGGAAGGTGAAGAGAGATGAATTGAAAAGTTGAATAATAGAGGTGGAGGTATAGAAGAGAGAAGGTAGAAAAAGAAGGAAGATAAAAAACTACACGTACTCCGATAACGCTATCAACAGGAGTCATGATGATATAACACCAGGCAAACATCAAGAAAATAGCTCCGAACTAAACAGAGAGAGCAAAGAGTCGCGAGAAAAAAGCGGAGGATTCTTTGTAACAGGGGGACTAGAGTTTGAAAGGAGGGAAACAGAGAATAATAAGTCCAATAGTGCAAGAGAAAAAAAAGGCTGTACGTGTGTGTCAACTACTGATCGAGGTCACGAATTCTTAAGAATCCGCTTCTAGGGTGATCGATCATCTTCCAGGCTTTCTCACAATATAATAGGTTAGCAAAGGACGGTGTTCTTCGGTAATCGTGCGCCAAAAGGCTTCCTCTGGCTTGACCATCTCGTGCAGCTCTAAGCAGAACTCCATCACAGCTCGGCGTATGTCTGGTTGGGGATCTTTGAGGCTTTGATTGGCAAAGTTGCCAAGTCGTTCCAACTCTGGCTCACTGAGGAATAGGTTTTTTTCGTTAAGTCGACGTAGGAGCCCGCTGAGGATGTATCCACCCATGGAAATCATTCGATGGCTGTCGGGAGACTTCTCTTCCGACTCGAGAAGATCCAAAATTGCATCAATGACATCTGCGGGGTCGCAAGCTTGAACAATATCCTCTGCTGTTTCCTCGAGACCGCTGACGATATGGTTTGTAAGTTCGTAGTGTTTGCGGGCCGTAATGATTGCCGTCATGGCTCTAGCATTGTACGTAGCAAAGTAGTCACGATTCATCGAGAACAACAAGCGAATAGTCACTAGTACCTGTGTTTTGAGATCCATTGGTCGACCAGTCGTTGACTTCCTGTCAGTGTCTGGCGCTTCGAGGGCTTCTAACAACACCATTAATGTTGCACCATATTTGGCTTTGTCATGAAATATTGACTCATGATATTTGATCAAGCTCTGCACCTTTCGGTACCCATGCACGTCGATGGCTCCTGTTCGGATTTTATTAAGCCCTCTATCAACCATATCTCGCCCTCGTGATGGATCCTTGGATCGTGGGCTCAGGCTTCTTCGTCTCTCTAAAATCTCCACCTTTTTCCATCGCCGGTGCAAATTTTCACTTCCGGGGGTAGCGACACTGGCTGAAGGTGAGAACCCTGAGGGCTCTTGTTGCTGATTATATTTTCGACTTGGCGTGTTCGCCGGTTCGTTGATTGGAAGTTCTTCAAGCGGAGCAGCCTTGGCGGGTGAATGGGAAGACCTCGGAGAGAGTCCAAGTGGACCAGGGTGGCCGACATTTTCTTTAGCATTTGGAGACTGGGGGTCCTCATAGACTTTGAGGGTCTCTGCAGGATGGCTAGCCTCAATACTAGGAATAGAAAGTCGACCCGCTGGAGAGGCCTGTGGCACGGTGTCGTCATAATTATTGGAAGAGCGCCTGCTAGGGCTGGTCGGCAACGCCAAACGCTCCTCCGAATGAACTTTTGATTGGAGAGATGGCGACATAGGGATACGGGAAACAGAGGTGTCGCTGCTGCTCAAACGGCGATGGCTTAAAGGGGTACCGTGAGCCATCACCAAGGATCCAGATGTAGGGAGGTCTGTCATAAAATCCGATTTGCTTTGAGTGAACACTTCGGCATCCGAAGCAAGGGCGGTTGGAATAAATTCCGTACTTCTATTGTCAGTCTGCGGTAAAGCCATATGTAGACTGTCATCGGATCTAGCCGGGCTCGCAGCCAGCGGTTTCGCATCCGCAGCAGATGTGTAATTTGGTTTGCTTGCTGGACCTGCCATTAAACGAGCCTCGCCAGGTTTTAACCCAGCAATGTCAAGTCGTTTGGGTTTTGGCTTTGCCGTGCTTACAGGCGCACTAGTGTCAAGTCTTGATTTGGGACGGGCAGGTGTTGGATTTTTTCTCCCCGGAGTCGATGTGGTTTTACTCCTAGGCTTCTGGGGACTCTCTGAGGGACTTGTTAATTTTGACTGGGATGTGCTATGCACAGGTCTATTACGAGATGAATATGGATCAGCGGTAGCAGGTCGCATCAACTCGGGCCGTCGGGGCCTCGAAGAGGGGCGCATTGGTGCTGAAGAGAGAGATGTGTTTTGGGAAGAAAGATGGGACCCTGTAGGAACGGTGCGAGTTGTTGTTCCAGGTTGTCGGTGAATTGAAGATCTTGACGATTTCAAATCCGGAAATGATGACTGGGCGGATTCCGGGCGAGCAGGTAGTTTCTTCGCTGCAGCCAAACGAGCTTTTTTCTGAGCAGCGATTGTCTCCTTGAGTGTTAGTCTGGACCATCCCCCTAGCCCGCTATTGCCCATGCCTGTTCGGGGTTTCCCGTTAGTGTTTAAGGAATTGGCATCGAGATTAGGATTTCCGGGATCCCTTTCAAGAAGAGACTTGGACTTCGCATCCATTGTCGATATGATCCTAACTGAGTTCAGCCAGACTGACAATCAAGCCCAAAATACGGAGTCAATACATACCCTTCTGCCCTATCAGCCCATATTCTCGCGAAAGTCCAAAATGTTGAACGCATGTTTTCCCTCACTCCGGGATTCGCATCCCCCAGACCTTTTTTAATACATTTCTCGAGGACATCAACACCCCCACTATGTTCAATCGATCCTTTATGCCCATGCTTCTGTATTAGGGTTTGTATCCACCCTGTGACAAATAACCTAGGTTGAACATTTTTGTCCTGACATGCAAGCCAAAGGTGTTGCATAATTCTAGATGTGTAGGACACATTGCCGATGATAGCATCCACCGTAAGGTTACCGTTTTGGGCGCTGATTTTCTTCAGGCCTGCACACACTTTAATCATATTCTGTAAAAGGACTTCCACCATTGGATCAATTGCTGGGCCATTTACTCGAGCAATATCTTGAATTAAGCTGCATCCAGCAGCTGACAGCGTTGTTCGCAAAGAATTGACAGTTTTGAGTATGCCGTCGAGCACACTTTTGATACCAACCAAGTAATTATGCTGAAAATCTGTAGGCGCATTGCCCTTCGTTATTCTTCGCAGTTTCAAAACACTCCTCTCGCGATGAATCCAATTCTGTTCTGATTCTCTGCCTTCAAAATGAGGCAGCATTTCACGAAATACTTCATCCAATTCTCGATGTGAATTGAGGTAGAGTGGGTCTACTGTTTCCGGCTCAACAATTTCGGGGTTCCCAGTAACGGCGGGGAATGACTCGACGCTAACACTATGAGATAACACTGCATCTCTTCGCGGAAGGTCCCCTCTAGCTGGCTGGTGCGAATCTGATACAAGCGGTTAGTTCAACACGTAGCAAATTGATATTGGTTCATACCACCGTGGACAGAATCTGACGCCATTCTAGCTTCCTTACTTGCTGTTTCGCTGTTCGAATAAGATCGGACTGAGAGAACGGAGTTGGGACGTTGAGGTTCCCGGTGGCTGGAGAAACTGCTCTCGGGTCTCAAGATATCAGATCTTGACTGAGACTGCACGGACGAGGAAAGTTCTTGATCGACGCCAATGTTAGACAGGATTGAGTTGGTTATCGATTTTCTCACATTATGTGATTGCAGTTGCTTCTTCAAATCCGACAGTGCTCGAGGAGGGGCATTTCTGGGACATATCATTAGTAGCCGGAAATTAGAGGGGATTATTTGGAGCCTATTGCATACTGGAACAAATCGATAACAGTCGCCTTTGCAGTTTCCCTGACTCCACTATCAGCATCTTCGAGGCAGGCGACAAGGCTTGGCACGTATGTCCGGAATAGCACACCACGGTTCCGAGTCATCTAAAAAGAAAAAGAGCGAGGAAAGTTAGTAGACAAGTTAATGTCAAGCCAGGTACGTTCCACGATGGCTTATAGACTCACAGTCGCTAGCCATGTCATACTAGTTTCCTTTGCGCGAGGATTCTTCCCGACCAACGCAACTTCCAGAACGTGGTGCTCAACTTCCACGGGAGAAGACTCCCAAAAGTCACTGAATGCTTGGGCAGCCTGTGAGCGAACGCGTTCTTTATGGTCACCTAATCGCTCAAGAAGTAGGGGGTAAGTGGAGCGGCCTTGAGCAGCGACGGCCTGATGGAGCTCTTGGAGGTAAAGTCGTTTGAGGAGATGGCCTAAGGAGGAGAAGCCCCCTGCTGAAAGCGACGAGTGTTGTGATGAGATCGCATGGCGAACGGCCTCGAACACTGTGGAAATAGCGACCTCCGGTACATTTTTCTGTTTTATTTCCGACTTAAGCTTTGTGAGCTGTTGCGTTTTCGCCTCGATGGAGAGGTTGGGGTTTTTCAACGCTGCTAGAACCTCTGTGGCTCTAGCTTCCATTGTCAAGATCGATCGACCACAACGTTCATTGGAAGGGGGCTATTTCGTAGTGCAAATACTGATACACGTAGAAGAATGGTAGAGATATTATGCGCAATATCACAGTGCTATGTATTGCCTTAGTTGTAGGCAAATTTCGAATCGGCGATTGTATGAACGACAGACAGATAATAGGCGCCCAGAAATACGTGAGGGTGAGTTAGAAGAAGGATCACGACGCGATGTATATTCTGATACTATAGATTAGAACAGCCATATTAGTACCAAGCGATGAAACCTGCACGGCCTGGGAGCAAGCCGATCATGACTGTCAAAGCAATATAGGAGGGGGCCGACCCCGTGTAGTAGCACAGACCACGGCCATACATGGATTGGCAAGGTAGCTGACAAATAACGCATGAAGACGAATGGGTGCATACCTGGATCCGATAGAGCAGGTGTAGAATGATAAAGAGAACAACGCTGGCACGGGAGGAGAAACGCAGCGATGGAGTCGACGAGGGAATTTGAAGACATGAATGAGGTTGCGCCAGACAAAGGCCGAAAAGGGTAACTTGATTGTTTTTTGCTGCCCAAAATCCCGTTGTCTTGGCAGCAGCGCCGGCCAGACGCTAGACCCGATCTGGAAGCAGCCTCCAACGGCCTGATCCCGCAATTGATATGTGCGTTTCCTGATACAACTGATTTTATATAGACACTCCTTTTTTTTTTTTTTTATCTATCTATAAGTATGTCTTGATGTAGTAGAAATATGAATGTCTGGCAAATTGGCAACACGACACTTGCTGTTGTAAACATAACCTTCCTCAAAATATGAACCATGGTAGTTAGTTACCTGTCCAGGGGGAAAGCATACTGCGTATGTAGGAGGTGCAGAATTTGAAGTTTTAAATAAAGTCATTATTCTATCATACGTGGTTGTTGAAATTGACACCAATGAGAAGGATCTCGAGAATTGCTATTGTGGCGGACATATTACTTGCGAAAACAGAATTTTCCCAGCCCCCTCTGAAAATTAGTAGCAAAACACCATCAAAAAATCAAAATATCTGCATTTCTCTAGAATCATTCAATATCATCCAATACGCGTCTTTTTCAATCAAATATCATCCAAATATGTGTCTTTCTTATCTTTATCATCAAATCCACATATATCAATCAACTCTTTTTTCAATATGCCTTGCAACATCTGCTGTCCTGCTGCTTCGCAAGCCTGTACAAAGACTTCTACTCTGCATCTCAGTCTTCTCAAACTACCTGTTCCAGAAGTTCTGGATAATGGAGAGGATTCAGTCAATGATGAAATGGAGGAGCAGATGAATGAGAAGAATATAGAGACTCAGTCTGAGAATCCTTGATATCCGCGAATTCCTACACCTGAGCCTGACATCTCATACAGATTGTATGAACAGGTGATTATCAATGAGATAAAGAACAAGAGAGATGACAAAATGATTAATAAGTAGAAAGAAGAAGAAGAATTAGAAGAATGAATCTATAATTTCTACAATCAATTCTTCTATACAGATCTCTCAAATGTCAGTGATTATATTCTCTTCTTCAGCTCTGGCAGCTTCAACTTCATTCAATATGACATTCTTAAGTGAGATAATCAATGTGATGATGATGAAATATATGATGAAAGGAATAGAAGAACTGAATTCACAATCTCATTATCATCCACATTCAGATCTGCTGTTGAATCTTCCATCAAATCCACTGTTGAATCTTCCATCGAATACACTGTTGAAATCTTCCATCGAATCCACCGTTGAATCTTCCATTGAATACACTGTTGAAATCTTCCATCGAATCCACCGTTGAAATCTTCCATTGAATACACTGTTGAAATCTTCCATCGAATCCACCGTTGAATCTTCCATCGAATACAAGCATCAAATGCTCGCTTACGCTCGCTTTTCTGCTTGCGCAGCCCCCCTCTACCACTTCCACCCTCCCCCCCTGACACTCCCCTACCCCTCCCTTTTA